AAAAATTGCAAGAGGGGAAAACAGAATTCCTATTGTTGCTGGGACACAAACTTCGCAGTGTGTCAACTTCTATGATGTTGTTTCTTATAATTTAGAAGTATTTACTGTGCACAAGCATCAAGCTCAAGGACAAATAATCACTTATTATACTGTCATACCCAAAAGGACATGCATTCAATGGTACTTACCTAATTCAATTTCCTCCTCTGTTTCCAACTTAGGCATTGGTCTATCTTCTACAAAAAACTCTGCAGAGGCACTCAGCTCTGGTAGGGATTTTAGTAGTTGTTTGCGATACTGTGAACACCAGGGTGACTGAACAGTGTTTTCTGGGGGGAAAAAAAGTTGGGGAAAAAAAAATCACTCAAAAAAACCTAAAATTGAGTATTAACAACAGGGAAGGGGAAAAAAAAACAAGATTTCATAATCAACACTGTTAACCTAACAACACTCATCCATCTCAGGTCTTTATGATACCATATTGTTAGTATTAATTTATTCTAAAATTTCACAATTTATGGGAACTTTTCTAGAGAAGAAAAACATAGCTCAGTTTGCAGTGATAAATAAGTATTCACTAAACACGGATGTAGGTGTTCACTTGCAAGTGGTATATATGAACTTACCTGTAGTCTCATTAGTAAGCTCCAGTTTCTCAGGAATTTGAAGACATTTGATGGAGGAGGTGCTTGTAACTGAGGCAGAAGATCCAGAGAACCCAGAGGAGTGTGTGGCCTCAAGGCTGTCTTCAATAATTGGGCTGAAAGAACCACAAATGAATCAATCCTCATAGGGAAAATACTGGGGGTGCCAAAAAAATGTATATACATGTTAAGGGGTGTTAACACTTTGGTCAACGTTGCTCAAGCTGTAGGTCACTGTAATCAGAAGTGTCTGGATGCTGATGGTAACCACTTTGAGCACCTCTTGTAATTGCAGAAGTCAAACGTGACTTGTATTCATCTTTTGTNGGGAAGAGTGCAATGATGGTGCCAACTTGGGCCAGTGAAGCAACGTCCTCCACTAGACTGAAGAACAAAAGGACAGCAGCTTGTCTGTTCCCCTTCCCCCAATTCCTCAGTGCTGTTCCCATCCCCCAAGTTCCCCAATAAAAATTTTAAAAAATCTTTAAAAAAAGAAAAAAAGCTACCTTTTTATTCTGACCTTCTGCCTCTTCAAACCTTCCAAACAACAGAACCCACTTCTATTCCTTCATAACCCTTGCCCCCAAGTCCCTGTAATAGAATGGTGATTATTCTATTTCTGAAAGGTTGCTAAACCCCATTCAAAACCTTTTCTTTTCCTGTCTAACAGCCACAATCCTAATCAAGAGACCCAGTAGCAGCAGCACCACTAGATTATTTAAATAGGCCAAGGGCTTGGTGGATAAAAAATAAAAACATTAAAATGTAATGAAAAATTAAACAATATTGCCACTTGAAATTTAAGAAAATTTGGCCTTGTGTAAACCATATCTAACTTACTTTTCAATCTAGACCACTTAATGGAAGCTCAGGAAGGTTATCATCCTATCATAACAGTTCCAAATCTAGGATATATAAATTTCCATGGTAAAGTAGCTCCTGTCTGCAAAAGTCAAGCCATTTTTTTTTTTTATCTTAGTGGGCAAAAAGTAGATGAAATGTTAGAAGCACAAATTTAACAAATACTATTTTATTATTTACAAAATACAGTGATCATAAGGGTACATGTCACAAATTACAAAAGGGGAAAAAAGTACAGACAAATGTGTTAAACGACAACAAAGTACCCATTCACATGAAGTCCACTTAGAATAAAACAGTTCTTTGTTAAAGTTAGCAAAGCGAAGTGTAGGTACATTGCTGTGTAAAAAGTGCCAGTTACCTAGAAATATACCTCTATCAAAAAGTAGAAAAGCGTTGATAGTGTATTAAATGTGTCCTAAATTAGATTTTATAGCATATATAGGCTCAGTGTTCCACAGCAGAACCACTGGTTTTAGGCAGGAATCTGTGAGAGACTTGACTGCCTATCTCGCTGGAAGAGCAAAGCCTCAGGACCAATTAACTTCCCTACCTTCCATAAAGCTTTGTTCAGGTGACTCTGGAATGTGGTGTCAAACACCCCATTAATTTCTGCAGCAAGTTCCCTCAGAACAGACACTGTGGGCTCATCACTGGCATTCAGAATCCGCACAAAGAATTTATTCCACAATTCACCATCTTTTAGCCTAAAAATATATAAAACCATTTCCATCAAGATTAGGCATATTAAAGTTAAAATTCTTTCTGTGTTTAACTCAGTGGTATAGTTATGTACCAAGATGATTTAAGGTAATGTCTAGAATTCTAGGATTAGAGATTATTCAAGTAGTCCTTTGAAAACCTAAGGTGGTACTAAAAAAAAACCAAAAACATAATACAATGCACATAAAGGGGCAAAAAGGTCTTTCATCTAAACGTATAAATTACCTCATCGTACTAAGTAAGAAACAGCACTTCTCTTCTGCAAATAGAAGAAAGATAAATTTTGTCTCCTCTCCTGTAATTTTCCTAAAGTCCAGGTCATGAGAAAAACTATAGTTCCCTTCCCCCTCCCAGTGGTTTATCTTCACAATTCTGAGAATCCTAAGCTTGAGTGGAGTGACTACCACACTTCAGTCTATGATGTTCGTACTTTTTTTTTTTTTTTTTTAATCAGAGAAGCTTCCATTAGTGTGTAAGGCAGAGCTATTAGGAGACCCCAACTGACCTCACCTGTTTTTGTATGTGTTCAAGACCCACCTAGGACCATAACCAGCTGGAGGTACCTAATCAATCCTGTGTATCTTACATTATATTTCAAGCTTATTTTTAAAGTACATGTTAGAGACAAGACTGGACATATTCTGAATTTAATAAAGAAAAAAAATACAATTCAATTGTTGGGAGGGGGAATGGAGAAGGGGTGTTAAATCTTCAGTGCTGACTTTTTTCTTTTAACCAAAGAACATACCAATAAATGATAGATTGGTAAACTTATTCTGGGAAGTTATTAGCTCTGATAAACTAAAGTGGAACATGGGGTATTTAATATGTTTTATGAGCAGGCTTGAGAGAGTACTAAGGTGCTGAGACCAAGCAGCTCTTATTAAGGAGAGTCTTTGCGTTGGTTCCACCCATTCAATAAATAAATAATAGCCTACAATTAGTATATAATTTAGAAATGTAACTTTCTTCAAGAGATGCTTATTAACTTTTGATAACAATAGCTATTAAAAAGGGGTAGAAGACTAATACCAATTGGTTAGAAAATTATTCTCATAAAATGTTTCTACTAGTACTTCTAAATTGAGAGGCTTCAATACTATAATTGCAGTCTTTACAACACATCTAGGTCCAGAATGATATTCTGAAGTCTGAATAGTTTTGTACTCTTAATTACCAATGCCTTTATCCTGCACTAGTTGTTTCACTGATACTCTAACAAAAACTGGTTGATATTAATGGAATCATGGCATTTGGACTAAGAAAACTAAACCTGCCAAACAAGAGAGAGCACCTAAGAGAAAGAGAAAATTATTTGAACAGGTAAAGACCCTGAAATCACCAATACTTACTCAGAAATATTCTGGCTAAGTTTCCAGAGAGACCCATCCCAGGAGACCTGTAGGTGTTCCTTGAACAACAGTAAATGTGCTAAATCTGCTATACCAAACAGATCTACCTGAAATCACAAAAAGCGCCATCAGGTAAAATAATTCTGTTACTATTGAGGCAATTTATTTATATAGGCAGTTAAAAGATACTACAGTGATGACCTAAGTTTATTTTATGACATCTATTTCAGTAGAACTGTTCCTTACCCTTACAGTTAAGGGAAAAACTCCCCAAAGAAGTGATCAATAGAGCCAACTCTAGGAATTATCTTTAAGAACAAAAGATAAAAATATCTGGACTGTCAAATTCAGATTTGTAGAGCTACTGAATTTGCATGGATTCCACCTGTGACCTAAATGTGGTTCACATGACTAGTCCAGGTTCATGCTATATATTCAATCAGCAAATGCCATATGTCCAGAACTGAGTTAGAAGGGAAGCTTTGCATATAATGCCACCATATAAAACACTTTCTTTACCTTTGTCCTGATGTTTTTTTATATACATTATTTAATTTAATATTTACAATTCACATGTACATACAGCAAATTGTTTTCCTTATTTTACAGAGAAGATCACAGAAAATGACTTATAAAGGCTACACAGATACGTGGTAGAAATGGCCCTGACAGTTAGGTTACTGAGTTAGTCATGTGTCTGCATGTGTATGGGTATATTCTTCAGTGTTGTGACAGAAAAATGGTACATTTTGCTTGACTTGATGATATTTGAAATCTAGGTCATCTATTCCAGGAGAAAGAATATCAGTAAACACTAGCTTTCATAGCCTATTTATAAAGCTAAGAAAGATTAAGAAACACTCTCTCTATTTCCTCAGGCTTGTTTGACACTTACCTGGTAGGGAGAAGAACAGTTAGCCAGGATCTTCTGTTCTTCCAGGATCTGTACAGTCCGAAAGCCGCTGAGGGTAAAGACATCTGGCTGTACCCTAAGGTCGACACTGTAGGAAAAGTCCACTATGTTCAAAGCTTGATTGTTCTTCTTACAGTCATATGGATCATGGATGCTAAGCCCAGATTTAAGAGAAAGAGATAATAAAAATAGGCCATGAAAGAAGCTGCATAGCTGATCTTAAAAAAAAAAAGAAAAATGAAAAAAAGGTACTGTAGGTGTGTCTTAGCTATGTTAACAGCTCCCTCCAGTGGTTAGTTTTGAAAATGCACCTGTAAGAGCAGTGGCAGTATCCACCACCAAAAGTGGGAACGTCGTCAGGATTATAGTTTAGTGACACATAGTACTGCATATCTAAACCCTAGTGCATGGCCACCACAGAACATTTATCAAGTTTCCACATTATATAAAGTAAGTACTGGAAGTAGAGTGTAGGCCTGTGCCTTGTACTGTACACATTAACACATATAAGAACAATGATTTATACACAATTACCATGGAGGAAATTAAGCTTTTACAGGTGTTACAGCCTTTGTTTACTACTATAGATTAGGCTTTCCAAGTGTCACTCAGACTCTTCTCTTCCAGAGTTTAATTGAAAACTACATAAGGTTGGTTTTTGGTAAAGTGCTACCTATACTACAAAGTATCCCGGTTCTATTAAACTAATACCATATTCTATCTTACTCTTATTCCAACCCTTATTTCCTTAAAAAACAACAACAAAAAACTTTGTAACACTAATTCACTACTGATTAATTTATTTTCCTTGGGTTTATCTATTCCATGCAATAAAGCTACTATCCAGAGACATAAGAACTATTTATGTGAGTGGCCAGAATGCATTGTGTTTATGTTCCTTTTGTCTCTCTGCTTTTCTCAGCTATTTCCCTCAAATCCCTGATTGACATCAGTGGCAGGTCCTACGTTCCTAAATATAGGCTTTGACTAATCCTGTCACCTACTTCCACAACACAGAATGATCTATTTTACTTTAAAATTTATATTTGCTCCCATTTTTCCTTGGCACAAGATGTAATTTTTTTGGCCATCATAAAACTATTATTCCCAGGTATTTTTAAAATTTGGGAGAGGTAGGAAAAATGTTTCTTAGGTTAATAAAAAGAAGAAGGAAGGTCTCCTAGCTTTCTAACTGGCCACTCAATGTAACCATGGGTAAGATGTTCCACTTTTTTGGATCTCACTTTCCTCACAAAAATATATATATATACATATATAGAAACTGCATTAAATGATTTCAAAACTCTCTTTCAATTCTTTGTGAATCTATATGAAATTTCCCATCAAATTTGATAAGTTGTGACAAAGTAAAAGGCAATGTCCCTTTCCCTGGAGTCCTCTGGTGACTTGAGAGAAGGCATATCTGGCTACATAGTACACAAATGCCCAATCCTTAAAAGGCTTAGAATATCCCTTTGCTTACAATTTCTATAGCCTTGAGAACCTGAGCACTATCCTCTGAACTTTGAGTGTTGTGAAATAGGGTGAAAATAAAAACTATACCTGGGGTTCTCACATTCAGAAACACATGGGGGAGGGGGCGGGGAACGGGCGATTTTTGGTGGTCACAATGGCTAGGGGAATTAAATAATTTGTATTTAATTGGGTGGGGTAGGGGGAGTTACGGGGGAATAGAGATATATAAAACATCCTGAAATGCTTGGAACAGACTTGCACAAAGAATTCTCTCATCTAAAATACGTATAGTGCCCTGGATGAGAAATGCTGCTATATTATGCTGGGGAAGACTTTAGGATTCTGTTATCTCAGGAAAGAAAGTGGGAAGCTCTAGTTCTTTTGGTTATAATTGCAGAAATACACTCAGAGTTCTTTTAATTTCTATGCCAACTATAATTTAGAGTCTAATTCAGTCTCCTCTTACAGATTAAGTAGTCAGGGGAAATGTAGAGAATGAAGGCAGCTTTTAGTGACCTCAGAGGAAAAGTTACCTGCTTACCCCAAGGTTGGGGTAGACACAGGGTTGAGGCAGACAAAGCATCTTTAAACCAGATCGCTTTACTCAAATACCACGAGACCAATGATTATTAAAAGGGTGTGCTGGTCCTCCAGTCCTTTCATAAAACAAAAATTGTGGGATGTCTTTGCCTTGTTCATGCCTCAATGTTTTTTTTATATTTTCTCAGTTCTTAGTATTCAGGCTTCATTTCTAATTTTTTTCTCTGCGCTCACCCCTTGAACCTGATGGCTAAACTGGGTTTAATCTGAGCACTAAGCCCCTTTTCTTGGCCTAGTTTGCAGTTGTACTCTGGCTTTACCCATTCCTTTNTCCCACATATTAGGGCCAGCGACACTGCCCTCTACAGCTAAGATGCTGAACAACAGCTCAACCTAGAGCTGGGCTGCTGTGAGTCCCCAGCGATGGCGACTGCGTAGGCTGTAGCCCCTGCTGCAGTGGGTTGCCATGGGCTACCGTGTGTAGCCAGCAGCCAGCATGAACGGCCAGCAGCCCCAGTGAGTGGCCGTCCAGAAGCCGGAGACTGATCTGCCTCGCCTGGGAAGAGCACAATGATGGTGCCAACTTGGGCCAGTGAAGCAACGTCCTTTACAACCAGACTGATGAACAAAAGGACAGCAACTTGTCTGTTCCCCTTCCCTCAATTCCCAGCGCTATTCCCATCCCCCAATTTCCCCAATAAAAATCTTAAAAAAAAAAAAAGTAGAGATCACTTAATAATAATTATCTAAACATGGATGGGTGATCTTGTTACATCTTTATTCCCTACCACTACTCCTCAAATCCAACCCAACTCCAGATGATTTTGAAGCAAATCCAAGACATTATCATTTCATCTATAAATATTTCAGTATGTATTTCTAAGAGGCTTTTTAAAAAGCAAATCTTAAAACATGATCCTATCTGCAGAATTAATTTCTGTGTATCAAATACCTAGTCAGAAATGTCACATTTTAACAAAATTTTTTAGAAAGTTTCATTTGGGAATGCAGAGTGAGATTCATGTACTGTGACTGGTTGAAATGTTTCTTAAATCATTTTTATTCTATAGAATTTTTTTAAAGTAACTTTTTTTGTTGAAGAAACTAGCTCAAGTGTCCCATAATGTTGATTTTTTTTGCCAATTACACACTCCTGTGTTGTTTAACCTACTCCTCCATGCTTCTATTTCCTATAATTTGGTGGTTAGAATTAGAGGATTAACCAGATTCTATTTAACATTTTTTTAAGAAAAAAAACCCTACTTTTAGGTAGATATTCATATTTTTACCACTTTAACATGTTTCTGAATGGAAAAGAAGACAAATTTGAATATAAAATAGCCTTAGTTTTAAGCTTTTTTTTTTTTTTCCTTTCTTCCAAAATCCACTTTCCAGTCTTGGCTGCTGTATACTACAGATATGTTTAGTTTAGTGTACATTAGCTAAAGTGGAAGATTATTTGGTGTTAGTATAAATTTAAATTTACATTTAAACCAAATATTTCAAAACCTTGAGGACTCTTATGAAACCACTCTTTCAAATGTCTATCTTATCTCCAATCATATGCTTATAAATGAATTCCATGATTCAAAGATACAATATTACCTTAGTACCCCTCTTTACCCTCTTTCAACTCCCTGTACTGTAATTTAAAAAAAGATATGTACCACTTGTTACATAATGCATGGGTTATCAGCAAGTTCCTCCAAGGCGACATTGTCAAATACAACTCACCTTTAGAATGAGGTTGTTCTTGCCAAATGTTTTCTGCAAGTGAAGTTTCCCTGTAAAGAAATTCCTTTTAAAACATGTGCTTAGAACCCACAGAAAAGAATTGTTTAATTCTTAAAAATCCAAGAGGCTTTTTCATTAAATATAATCTTCTTCACTCTAAGAAACAGTCTAGTACTGTCAATCCAAATTCTTTAAAAAGATGGAACCGTCAGTCATTAAAATTGTTGTAGAAGTATTTTTTATAACGTTGAGTTGCATGAACAGTATAAGCAGATTACAAAATGATAAACTCATTTTTTATAAAACAAAACAAAAATAGAACACACAAGGGATATATCAATGTTAATACTAGTNAACACTGTAAGGATTCTCCACTCAGGAAAAAAAATACTGGACAACAGTTTTTTTCCCCGACCAACTTCACATAAGTAGAGAACTAATGCTACTTTTCTTTTGGCTTTGGCCTAGAAAGTGTTCTGATAATCTGCTATCCTTCTAGCTTTTAAGTGATCTTCTTCTGTGCCAAATACTTAATTTTAATTTTATTTTTTAAGGTAATTCACAATCATGGTAGAAAATATAAAAAACAAAGTATAAAGTATATATATAAAAAAAACACTTAAAATATGCCTTTGTTTTTAAAAGTCATATATGTATATGGTTTTAAAAAGCCAACTTGTTTAAAACGCTATATAGTGAAAGTCTCTCTCTGGCACTTAACACCACCTCCCCACCCCCATCTCCACTTCAACTACTACACTCCCAGAAGCAACTGCTGTTACCATATAGATCTGGTAGGATACAAGCATAGTGTAATGCATTTAAAAAAAAGGTTTTAAAAGAAGTGAAATTATAGCATATATGCTAATACAGTTGACCCTTGAACAACGTGGGTGTTAGGGATGCTGACCTCATGCAGTTGAAAATCCTACATAAACTTGTGACTCCCCCAAAACTTAACTTACAGTCAGTTGTCCCTTGGTATTCGTGGGAGATTGGTTTCAAGACACCCCACCCGTGAATAGAAAAACCTGGGGATGCTCAAGTCCCTTATATGAAATGGCATAGAACAATGCATACAGTTGGCCCTCCACATCTGTGGATTCCCAACCAGATTCTCAACCACAGATCACAACTACTGTTTGCAACACACGGTGATCCACGGTTGATTGAATCTGTGGATGTGAAACCCAAGGATATGGAGGCTGACTGTTTATTTATTGAAAAAAATTCACGTATAAGTGGACCTGCACAGTTCAAACCTCTGTTGTTCAAGGGTCAACTGTATGTATTATTCTTTCTCATATTTTTAGCATATTTTCTGTGCCATTAAAAATTTTTTAAAAACATGATGGTCACACCATGGGGTCTAATCAGAAGTCAACCAATTCTTTTAGGTTATTCCGTTTTTTACTATTATAGAACTATTTAAAATATCCTTGTACATTTAAATCTTTAGGAATATCTTAATTTTCTTAGGGATAATTCCTAAGAGTAGAATTATCAGGTCAAAAGGTTATGAACACTAAGATTCATTCTACATATTGCCTAGCTGCCCTCAGAGAGATTGCACTGCTTTATACGTTTACCTGCAGTATACATTACCTGCAGTTTGCCTATTTCATTTAACCCTTATGGTTACTAGATATTGATTTTCTAGATTATCAATTTGACATATACTTTAAATTTTCGAGTCAACATAAGTAAACAGAGGTGAGAAGTACATCTGGAAGAAATAATAAATGTGGCTAAAAATTTTAAGATTAAAGTAAAACAGTATCTATAGTCTAAGAATACATTTTATGTAAATACAATTTATAGTCCTATTATTTTAGACATTTTAAAGATAATTTTTTTAGGGGGAAAAAATTCTGAAAGTTACCTATTAACAAAATACAAGTAAAAGTTTAAAACCAAAAAAACTAGATTGACTCCTTTAGTAATTCAGTCCATCCCTGAACAGCTGAGCCTAGAACCACTACCTCCAAATCCAGCCTATCTATTCATCATGTTCTCTGGTTCTGTTCTCAAGAACACAATATGTAATTAATTACTCTTCTACAATGTTTTCATAGCAGTCAGTGGACTATCCGAATTACCTGGGAAAGTATTTGAAACGAACAATAATACATGCTTAGACTTGATCCCTGGAAATTCCAATTCAGTATAGCTAGAATTCGGCCTGAGCACCTTTAGTAATAAATAGCTCCCTAAGCAAGTCTGGGTTGCTGGGAATTTTCTGTATCTTGATCTGGGTGGAGATTGAATAAATATTCACACATGTAAAAATTCATCTAGCTGTACAATTAATACTTGTACAATTTACTGAGTGCAAAATATACCTCAATAAATAGGAAAAACAAACAAACAAACATGTTTAAAAAAAGTACCCTCAAGTAATTCATTGTCTAGGATGCAGAGAACACACTGCTGTAAATCTTTACATATCATCTCTTAAGTCTTAAGATTAAACATATTCAATTCTCTTCAACCTCAAGACAAGTTTCCAGATGCTGATTTGAATAGAGGGGTGATTTTCTTCCTTAAAACTTTAATGAAATATCAATGATAAAGGTTATTTACTTTGACTTGAATGTCTACGTGGGGTTTTTTTACTCTAGTATTATCATGTCTCTAGTCCATAGTATTTAAAATAGAACATTACTACTGAAAAATGGTCCACACAACTTTTCCATTGCCACAAAAAGCATTTTATATAAAAGAACAAAGACCCTTTGCTATGTTGGCTAAAAAAAAAAGTTTTAAAAGCTTTTAAGACAGTGATTTTTTTTTCCCCCTTAAAAAAAATTGAGATATAATTCACATACCCAAAAGTTTATCCTTGTAAAGTGTATGTTTCACAGGTTTTTAGCAAATTCACAAAGTTATGCAGCCATCACCACTATCTAACTCCAGGACATTTTCATCTCTCCCCAAAGAAACTCCATATCTATGAGCAGTCACTCTCTAACCACATCTCTCCCTATTCCCCTGGAAATCCCTAATCTACTTTCTGTCTTTATGGATTTGGCTATTCTAGACATTTCACATAAATGGAATCATACAATATGTGGTCTTTTGTGTTTGGCTTCACTCACTTAGCAAAGTGTTTTCAAGGTTCATCCATGTTGTAAGATGTATCAGTACCTCATTCCTTTTTATGACTAAATAATATTCCACTGTATGCATATAACAATTTGTTTAAATCCATTCATCAGTTGATGGACATTGGGTTGCTTCCACTTTTTGGCTATCATGAACAATGCTATGAATATTCATGTACAAGTTTTTTGTATGAACGTAAGTTTTAAATTCTCCTGGATATAAACGTAAGAGGGAATCTCTGGTCATATGGTCATTCTGTTTAACATTTTGAGGAACTGCCAAACTGCCAAAGCTGCTGCACTATTTTACATTCCCACCAGCATTGGATGAGGGTTCAATTTTCTAACATCCTCACCAACACTTGCTACTTTCTGTCTTTTTTATTACGGCCATCTTAGTGCCTGTGAAGTAGCATCTCACTGATTTGTATTCTCTGATTACTAATGGTGTTGGGTATCTTTTCATGTGCTTATTTCAAGCTAGTAATTTTCATTTGAACCCTAAACTTTTGTGAGAACTGAATGAAACAATCTACTAATCCATTTATATTAATTTAGGAATACTGCTCCTTACACAAACATCTGGAGACACGTCCTCATTTGAGGTGATGCTTTCTGAAGTTTTGAGAACTGCAAGGGGTCTTCGTTGGACTAAAACTGGTGGGGGACCTGCAGGACTGGAAAAAGACATACTCCATTTAGCAATTTTTTTTTCTGTTGACATAGATAACAGTAACCCCTCATTTATAATAATAGAAAACTTTTAAGTGTCAAAACAAAACAAAAAGCCTCAAACCTGATATTCTTTTTTTCTGAAAGAAGAAACTCGTCAAAAATGGAGAAAGGTATACTGGGACCTATAGAAAAAGAGACTAGATTTATACTCTTAAGAGTAAATGCTCTATTCTTCAAGACAACTATTTCAAGTAATATTTTGCATTGTTTGAAAGCAGAAAGGCAATCGGTTTTTTATGATGAACAATTTCAAACATATAAAAGTAGAGGGGCCGGCCGAGTTACGCATTGGTTAAGAGCTGGCTTGGGACGCCAGAGGACCCCGGTTCGGATCCCACATATTAGGGCCAGCGACACTGCCCTCTACAGCTAAGATGCTGAACAACAGCTCAACCTAGAGCTGGGCTGCTGTGAGTCCCCAGCGATGGCGACTGCGTAGGCTGTAGCCCCTGCTGCAGTGGGTTGCCATGGGCTACCGTGTGTAGCCAGCAGCCAGCATGAACGGCCAGCAGCCCCAGTGAGTGGCCGTCCAGAAGCCGGAGACTGATCTGCCTCGCCTGGGAAGAGCACAATGATGGTGCCAACTTGGGCCAGTGAAGCAACGTCCTTTACAACCAGACTGATGAACAAAAGGACAGCAACTTGTCTGTTCCCCTTCCCTCAATTCCCAGCGCTATTCCCATCCCCCAATTTCCCCAATAAAAATCTTAAAAAAAAAAAAAGTAGAGATCACTTAATAATAATTATCTAAACATGGATGGGTGATCTTGTTACATCTTTATTCCCTACCACTACTCCTCAAATCCAACCCAACTCCAGATGATTTTGAAGCAAATCCAAGACATTATCATTTCATCTATAAATATTTCAGTATGTATTTCTAAGAG